CAGAACAACTCAGACCCCTGTAACACATTCATGGAGCCCCTCCTCCGTGCTGGGGAGGTGGTCAGTGTTATATCCTGTCCCTGGGAGTGTGGAGTGCGCAGCCAGTTGAGAGAGGTGGACAGGGTAAGGGATCCCCTGCCGCTGGGTGCCGAAGGGCTGCAGAATGGAGTGCCCAAGGTGCTGGGCGCCGGTGGAGGGAGGCGGTGACATCCCAGGAGGGTCTGGGATGGGGGTCACAGGCTTTCCAGGTAGAGGTCAATGCAGGTGCAAAGGTGCCCCTCCCCCCCCCCACATGGGAAACAGCCCTGCACGATGTCCCAAAAGCAGTTTGTGGCCAGAAGTCACACCGAGTCTGAAGTCCCTAACTGCAGGGGTCCCTCAGGGCTGTCCTGAGCTTTTTAATCTGGGCGTCAGGACCGCTTCCACACCTCACCTGCCACTCTCCCAGAGAGCCAAGCGGTGGGCGGTAAGTCCGCCCTGTCCACAGTCGTCTGCCTCAGCATTGCTTATCCCAGCCGCCACCTCTCATGTGGCTGCAGCAGGCTCTGCAGGCAGAGCTGGGGCAGGCGTCCTCTCCATCACCCCCTCCGGGGAACGGAGCTGTTCAGCACACCCCCAGCTTCTCACCCCTCCTTCCCCCACCCCCCACCCCGCCGCCCAGATATTTTTGCAGAATCTCTGCAGTGCAAGGTGGACTGTGAGGCCAACTTGACCCCCAACGTGGGTGGCTACTTCGTGGAGAAGTTCGTGGCCACCATGTATCACTACCTGCAGTTTGCCTACTACAAGCGTGAGCCTCCTGTGGGCGTGGGGGGCGGGGGGAGCGGAGAGCACTGCACTGGGAGCATCAGAGTCCGGGGAGCTGTTCCTCAGAATGCAGGCCCCTGGGCTATTGGGTGGGCAGTGGGGGCGGGGGTGGGGGTGGGGTCGGGTGGGGCAGGTGAAAGGCTTGAGGAAGAGAACAGAGAGCAGCCTCAGGGTAAATGACTGGCTAGCCCACAGCTGCACCGCACTTGACAGTTTACAAAGCCCTGCCACGTCTGTTTATCTCACTTTATCCTCTCACCGACCCCCTGCAGATGACATTGCTGGACCCATTTTTCAGATGAGGACACTGAGGCTTACATAGAGGGCAAGGGGTCGTTAGTCACTTAGCTAATAAAAAGTAGCACCAGAGCCCTGGCCAGTGTGGCTCAGATGGTTGGGCGTCATCCCATGTGCCAAAAGGTTGCTGGTTCAATTCCAGGTCAGGACACATGCCCGGGTTTCGGGCTTGATCCCCAGTATGGGGTGTGTGATTGATATTTTGCTCTCACATAGATATTTCTCTCTCTCGCTCCCTCTTTCTTCCTCTGTCGCTAAAAATAATATAAAATAATTTTTTTTCTATTTTTTAAAAAATATATTTTATTGATTTTTTACAGAGAGGAAGGGAGAGGGATAGAGAGCTAGAAACATCGATGAGAGAGAAACATCGATCAGCTGCCTCCTGCACACTCCCCACCAGCGATGTGCCCGCAACCAAGGTACATGCCCCTGACCGGAATCAAACCCGGGACCCCTCAGTCCGCAGGCCGACGCTCTACCCACTGAGCCAAACCAGGCAGGCAAATCTTTTAAAAAAAGAAGTAGCCCCAGGACTTAAGGCTTTCCTCATTTGAGGGAGATCCTGGCCCCAAGTGGGGGCTGCGATGGACAATCTCTAGGGTTCCTGTAATGCAGAGATGCCAAGATTCAGACAGAAGCTGGAGTTGGAGTGGAGGGGCTGTGGACCAAAGGGCCAGGAGAGTGCT